GTCCCCAGAAATGGGGAATTAGCTCTTGTTGACAGTGGGTTGGGATAGGAGGAAGCCAGACCTTGCCAGCCTTAGGTGTTCTCCTTCTCTGCTCCTGGTCCCACCTCTCCAGCTTCCACTTCTGGGTCAGGACTTCTGCGAGGGGTACTTGTCTGTATTACACGAGAGAAGCAGTGCCTTGTCCTATGTTTCCTTGTTTTAAGAGGGTAATAATAAAACTTGATTTGTATCATTACTATAATAATTAAATGATAAGTAATTGGCTCCAAAATGTGGTGAACATAGGCTGGACTCTGGGTAAGCATTCCATCACTGGTGGCTGTCGGCGTTTGTATTGCTGAATTGCTGCCGAGTGGTTATATTTTGCAAACCTTCTGCCTGAAGGTACAAGAAATGGTGCTGGGTTTTACTGTTCTTGAAGCTGCAGAATATGGACTGGAAAATCTTTACCTTGATATGGCCGTATAAGGAGAAATTGAACCTGGAACTAGGGAGCAGATAGATTAATGCCCTGTTTCCAGTGAGTGGTCTTTCTTGAACAAATTGGTAATAATCCTTGGGTTTTTCCAGATCTATTGAATATCTAGTATATGGCAGCAGAAGAGAATCCCAATGAGACCAGAGTAGAGGTAGGATAAGAGACAGAACCTTGAGAAATTGTATTAGCAAAAGAGGCAGTTTATTGTTCGTGCTAGAAGCTGCTGGCATGCCGCAAACCACCCCTGAACATGTACCACTATCTGAGGTTACTTGCTCCCTCGCACTAAGTAGAGCTCCTCTGTACAGCCTTGTCAGGGAGCTATCTGTATCTGTCTGTAGAGAAGAATGAGCTGAGGCATAAGCTGTGCTGCTTGTGAAAGCTCTAAGAGAGAGAGAGCTTTCTGAGGAACTACCTAAAGCATTATGGGAAAGAAAAATACTCACTACATCATATTTCCTCTAGATCTTTAGGCCCTCTGCTCTGTAAGTGAACAGGGCTGTCCTGGACATCTGAGCTGATACTGGACATAAATTCAGATATAGGAAAGGCAGTCCTTGGTCAACACTGGAAATTGTCCTTCCATAAACTGGCCATTAGACAAGATTTCTTTCCTTGCAGCAGATATTTCAGTTTCAGTGTGGAGAATTCTCTAGTTGAAACAAGTCATCACATGGGACAAATAGCCAGCTCTTGTAAGTCTTCCTTATTGGCAGTCCATCACTCAGTTCTGAGTAATCTTCATTTTTTTCCTTCATATGTGCATCAGACATTTAGTGGATGTCACTGTTGCCGGGCCTTGGTTAAGGTTGGGGAAGAGAAGAAACAAAATGGTCTGTGGCTGTTTAAAGTGTACAGCTGCTTACAGGCAAATTGGAGAGCCTCTCATGTCAGCAGTATGTTGTCTAGTCAAGGCAGAAAAGTACAGCAGTATGATGTCTAGTCAAGGCATGCCCAAAGCCAGAGAAGGGTCTATGCACAAAGTGTGTGTGTGTGTGTGTGTGTGTGTGCACTTGCATGTGTCCATACAGAGATCTGGGAGTACACTAGACGGTTTACCATCAGGATTGTTACCTTACCTTCTCTGAAGGATGGGAAGACTTGTTTTTCATACTTTTTGAGGTAAATATGGAGGGCCAGCTTCTTTGACTTCCAAAAGTTGCTCAGTAGGAACGTTTCTGTCAAACCTGTGGCAACTGCATCAGAACACAACAGGATCCACGCTGACAAATACAACCCTCTCTTCCCACTCTGTCCCAGCAGGGCCTGTTTCAAAATCTTCAATGCCTGTTGAACATCTGCCACTGTGGGCAATCGAACTCATGTCTCTCTCTTTGAGAATTAATTGAAACTTGATAATGATGTTTTCATGTGCTCATCTTCAATAATCCATAAAAAGATCAGCTGCTTTACAAGGGTGAAAGTCTTTTTCATGATTGCAAAAGGATTGAGTAGAACCTCTTTGTAAGTGCTATGTATGATCCTGGCTGATCTTGTAGAAACAGAAAGACTTCACTGGATCTAGGATCTTGTTTACTGTGAGACTCTGGGAAGGTTACCAAATGTAGCTGAGCATAAACTTCTTTATTTATACAATGCCATGTGGTAATATTAAGCTTCTATTATAGAATTGTGATGTGCTTAGCATGGGACCTGACGTTTGTCAAGCCCTCAAGGTAGGTTTTGTTGACAAATTTAAGAGCAATATATATATATATATATATATATATATATATATATGAGTAACTTAGAAAACTGAAAGTAATTCGATGGACTTATATCCTTTAAATGTAAATAAACGTTTGTCTCATTAGCTCGAGCTGCTGTAATGAAATGCTATAGGCTGGGTTTCTTAAACAGTGGAAATTGATTTCAGATTTGTAGAGATTAAGACCTCAAGATCAGAAGTTAGGCAGATTTTGTGTTTGTGAGCACTCTCTTCCTGGTTTGCAGATGGTTAGGTTTCTGCTGTGCTCTTACACACATAGATAGGGAGAAAGGAAGAGGCAGGGGGAGGAGAGGGAAAGGGAGATTTTGGTGCTTCTTCTTTCTGTAAGAACATTAATTCCAGGACAGAATCCCCACTCTCATGTAAGCCTAATTACCCCCAAAGATCTCATTTACAACTACTACTGCACTGAGGATTAGAGCACTGACATGAATTTGGGTGAGATGCAAACATTCATCTCATAGTCACTCTCTTTTCTCAATATTGAGAGGTAAAAGATTAAGCAGAGGAGAATAAAGGAGACATGAGAAAGACGGGGCTAAGGGAAACAGAAATTACCTTTTTATTTCTTGTAACTTTTCATCCATGCTAGCCTCATACCAGTACCTAAACTTAGTTATCTGAGTACTTGCGAGGACTGGAAAAGTCTTAGATGTAGACCAGGGAAAGTAGCCTAAGCTCAGGACCCTATTTTGAGGAAAGGACTATGTATTGGATAATCTCTGCCAGCTGCAGCCAGCTGGAGTGCCTTTGTGGGGACCAGAACACAAGGGAGAGATATCCCTATGGGGTCATGATAGAGCTCTTCCTTCCTACTTTCCTTCCTTCCTTCCTTCCTTCCTTCCTTCCTTCCTTCCTTCCTTTCTTCAATATTACTTAATGTGTTTTATCTTCACATGGACAGTGTAATGTAGGATCCAGAAAAGGTCATATAGCAAATCAGTGTAACTCAGTCCTCCAGTTAAAGAGCACTGGAGCTGGGGGAGGGTGTGGTAATTTTAGTTGTGGAGCATACTGAGACAGTGGCTTGGTCTAGATGCTGAGTGGGTGCGAATTACAGGGGGGGCTCAGCTCAGGATAGGAAAGAACTTTCCAACAGGAAAAGATGCCTCTAGGCTGGTGGGAGTCTTACAGAAAATGACCCCCAGCCAGTATGCTTCAGTTTGTTAGTTGCCCAGGTTCTGGTTGCTTCTGTCTCAAAGAAAGAGCTGATCACTACAATGAGCATTGTATAAACCAATCCCCAATTGACAAACCATTCTGTCTCTGTACTTCCTGCTTGCTTATCCTATATAAGTCCTAGACCACCCACCCTACACCACCCAACATCAGATCCTGATGTTTAGGAACAATCCTGATCGGTGCCCACTGATGTAAAAATATCTGCCTCCAAATCCCAGGTGTCATTTATGTGTTTCTGTCTGCCACTGCACTTTCATTACCCCATCAGAAGTGGTCAGCTCAAGGTTGGGTGGACAGAACAGAAATTAGGCAGGGAATATGAATTTTGCCACTTGGCCGCTGTGTTCTGCCCCAACCAGAACTTCAGGGTGAAGATGAGGGGAACACAAAAGTGTGTTGTACTCCTTAGAGAATCTTCCAAGAACTAGTCACTGTATTTCCATCACCTGTCCAGCTGTCTCTCCTCTTCCACTCCCCAATGAGTTAGTTCATCTCTCTCCAACTCCCTAAGGTATTCTGAGCCTACACCACCACATTCCAGTTAGGACATGCTCCATAACTACAGTGTCATAGAATGCTGAGAATGATTCTAGGCTGCTTCTTTCATTTCTTCCCCCACTATGATTGTATAGCTTCCTTTGGATTTTGTCTCCCCAACGGTGATCTTCACATATCAAACCTTCATGCACAAACCAGTTACTTCCCTTGATCATTTACTCTCCCTCCTTGGATCACTTCAATTTCTCTTTTGCCTGCTTAAGACAGGATGCTCTGGACCCAATGAAGTTTTCGAGCTTACATATTCTCTGGTTTCACACATGGTTTCCTCCATGGGAGCTGCAAGAGACTGTGGGGTATATAACGCAAAATGCATTGACATGGGGCAGAGACGTTCCTGGGCTTCTGAATGGGCTATGTGACTTCAGGGAAGTTATTTTCCCAGCCACTTTGTGGATCAGTTTCTACATTTGCAAATATCTACTTCAAATCTTTATGAGGAGAAATGAGTTGGCACTTAAAAGTGTGGTTTACTATTTTTGCCCACAGTAGGTATTGAATAACTTGAAGAAGAAAATGAGCTCCCAATCTTGTTAGAAATATTGTTTTAAAAAGTGAAAGATGTATTTAACAAAATAGATGATGATGATGATTAATGTATTTGCTACAAGGTCTCACTGTGCAGGTTGGACTTGTAGTGATCCTCCTGTTTCAGCCTACCCAGCACTGGTATTACAGGTTAATACCACCATATCTGGTTTTGGTGGTGGCTGGCTCAGTGTGCCTGGGGCAGGGCCAGCATGGCATGAGGTACCGGGGATTGAGCCCGGGTCCTTGAGTTTGCCAGGTAGGCTCTTAGCTGTCTCCTGAGCTATCTCCCCTGCCTGCTCATGATTCTTTGTAAAGAAATACTTTTTGAATTTTTGACTCAAATTATTTTGTCCATATTCACTTAAATTCATCTCTTCTATTTCAGTTATGTATATAAGAAGAGTGTGTGCATATATTATTAAAGATATATTATACTTTTAGCCTGCACTGTTACAAACTTAAAGATATAATGTGAAGCACATATATGCAGAACTATCCCACTATCTTCTGCTTCGTGTCCAGACAGTCTTGGCACCTCAGGGAAGCAGGAGCTTCGGCGAGAGAAGTGGGAGCGGAACAACTTGCCCAGTAGAAGCCTTTCCCGGCGCTCCATCAGCAAGGAGAGATGGGTGGAGACGCTGGTGGTGGCTGACACGAAGATGATTGAGTACCATGGGAGTGAGAATGTGGAGTCCTACATCCTCACCATCATGAACATGGTGCGCAGGCTTGCGGGAGGGAGAGGTGGCTGGCCAAGTTAGTAGAAATGCCCTTCTTCCCATAGATGTGAGCCTATTCCTTAAGGGAATGAGGAAGGAAACTGAAGACAAATTAATCTCTCCCTGAAATGCATATACATGGGAAATATTGTGATTTATTGTTAACATAATTCCAATTAATTGGTACTTACCAAGTGATCCTGTCCTTTTAGTATGACTTTATCTCAGTGATTGTTTATGTTAACTGATAATCTGATGCAAAAAGAGCTAGAACAGGGTTTCCTCAAGGTAGAGTGAGAACCGTGATGAAGTTATACTGTAATTCTTAAATTTAAGCTTCTTTAGATCACTGACGTGTTCTGTCTTCCCAGAGAGGACCTCTGTCTTATCAAAATGGGGAAAAGTATTCACTGAAGTGGCTAAAAGAAGACAGGGAAGCCTTGAGTTAGGGAAAAGGTCAAAGAAAAGAAAGGCATACATAATTCAAGCACACAGCTCATCAGTTATCTTGAAAGCTAGCCATTTAATAAATATCATAGATGAAGGTTGAGTTATAGGCACACCTTACATTTCTTTGCACTATGCTGAGAATTCATGCCCTGTTTATGTAAGGCATTGCAGTGCTGTTTTCCCCTCTAGCATGGAGATATATTTATTCATGGAGGGTTACGGGTTTTCTATTTCTGTTCCCAGGTCACTGGGTTGTTTCATAACCCAAGCATTGGAAATGCAGTTCACATTGTTGTGGTTCGACTCATTCTCCTTGAGGAAGAAGAGGTAAGGAAGGTTTTTCCCTCCACTCTCTTGCTGTATATCTTCACATTTCCTACCTCATTTTTTTCCACTAAAAAGGACTTGGTAAGTAAGGGAGAGGTTTCCAAATAATTTTTTAGAAGCCCAAAGAGAAGAAAAGCATTATTTATGTGTCATTTTTGAGAATTCTTCAGTATTTTATTTTATTGAGAAACAAATATCAATGAGGCAGTTTCCAAGCTGAATAAAAGGACATTTTCAATAATTAATACATTGCACATTGTTATTGTCTCAGCAGTCATCCACAGTATAAGAAGCAGCCCAGCTATCCCATCCAAACACTACTACTACAAATCCTTTCTCTCACTGAACCAAGTGAAAGCAGCCGTACATCTGTCCTAACTATTCTGTATATACAAATACAAAACGGTCCTACCTCTGTATCCCCCCTCTCCAGTTCTGTCCTGTCAGAGGTAGGTATTCTATTGGCATCTAAATAGTATAAGTGCTTGAATTCAGCAAAGCAATCCAACACAGTCCAGTAGTCCACAATAGTAGGGGGTTGTCTACAGAAGTTGTTGACTAGATCTCAGCATATTAATATGGCTTTACTTTATACACCTCATTTTAATACTTTTCTGCTGGATGGTGAAGACCAAGATAAAGCAAGACCTATATAACAAGAAATGTAACTTTTGCATCTGATAAGATCAATCAAGTCCCCTCAGAAATTATCCTGTAACCCTGTACTGTATTTTGTAGCTCCTTTGTCAGTGTCAGCCATGTGGATGAGTCATGGTCAATGCTTGACCAATTTGCTCTCTGTGAAAGCCTGAGAGAAAGTTTTCTCTCCATGTAACTCTCCTTGGGCACACTCTACATCATCGATCGCGAGTTCTTCAGTATTGAACTGAAAATGGAAAATATTTCCAAAATATGCATAGTTGGAATCACATATCAGTACACTTAATAATATGAAAATAAGACAATACCCAATAAGAATGGCCCATAGTGCGGACCTGCCCCTTAGCTCAGTTCTTTAAGTGGCTGCTTCCACAAAGCAGTCAGGCACAGGTTGCTGTCATTCGATTCCCACAACTCAAGCCAGCCAAACCTGCCCTGAAGGCATTCGGAGCAAAAAA